GGTGAGTTGAGCCGAGCTGGACTTGAAGCTCGAGGTGCAGACTGAGTTTTGACCATCAGGTCAGGAGGGGCTGGTCTGTTTTTGGCTTTGTAGGAATCAGAGTTTTAATCTGATGCAGCTACAGGAAACCAGTGAAGGGAGAGCAGCAGAGGAGCGACATGAATGAACAGCTGAAGGTCCTGATGCTCCACAGAGGAAGACCAGCCAGGAGCGATTTACAGCAGACAAGCCTTGAGATGACAAGAGACTGAAGGGGCTCCTGGGTGACCTCAGAGAGAGAAAGACTATGTTCACATTTCAAGCCCCATTACTCAAATCTGATGTTTGCTCAGATCTGAACTCTGATCTGTCCTTAATGTGAACGAACCGGCATCCTGAAACGAGCCGCATGCACTCATCATAATCACATGAATGAATCACGAGCGTCATGAACAGCAAACAAACTAACGAGCAGAACGAGCTTCGCTGATCAGCTCTCAGCTTCATTATTAGAGCGAGACGAAGGAGAAAAAGGTGAGAGGAGCTGCTTTTCCACCGTTTACAGGCTTTAACCTTTGTTTGGCGCTGCTGCCATGGTAACGCTAAAAGTCGAATCCTGCGGCTGCTGTTAAGGAGAGACCTGCATGACCGAGTCTTGTGTTTAGTGTCACCATCCCTCAGCAGTGTTTCTGTCAGGAGATCTAAACCAGCCTGAGCACTTCAGACGGAGCAGATAAGAGCACTCAGACACGCCCAGGAACCAAACAGCTTTCTAGGAAGTATCTCAAATTTATTTCAGCAACATTCCAGCACAAACACTACCCGCACCTCAGCTCTGATCAACATCAACATCTGAACGGATCAGAACTGCCTCAGTGTCAGCCTCGACCTCCTGCAGATCCAGTGCTACTATTATTATTATTATTATTATTATTATTATTATTACTGTGTGATGACAGTTTTGTCATGACTACAACACAAATATAGACATTTTATTTACTATCCAGAACCACCAGTGAACCTACACGAGTCTTCTGAGTTTATATGGAATGTTGATGATGGAAAATAGTGGAAAATCTGGAATAATAAGTTTTCTTTGGGGACTATTTTGCCTCACAGCGCCCTGCATGTATCCCTCCACCATGAATGGAGTTTAAGTTCTCTAAATTATCATAAAACAGTGTCTCAGTCATCAGGCAGTGAATTCATAACCATTTCATGTAGGAACTTTCTGTGAGGGAGCTTTTAGAGGGGGACGTCTGGTTCCTATCACCACCACTGTGAACAGTTCTGACTCTGGGGTCTGCCACTGCAGCTGAAACACTGCATCTCAAACACTTAATAATGTAGAGGACTTGAAAAATGGGTGGACTTGCCCTTCACCGTGGTCTGTAAGGGCTGTAATGTTCTCCTGCGCCGGATGCTGAGACAGGCAGATGTTCTGAGCAGATATTCAAAACACTCTGGATATTTGAATGTAAGTTTTAAACATGCAGAAGCTTCCTGACCACACACTGACCGTAATGTTCACAGAGCAGCTCCTGTTGAACTCCACTGAGCATTCACATGTCTATTTATGTTTATATCACCTTTATTAACATCAAAATATCATGCTACCTTCTGAATAACGCAGCGTCCTTCACACTCACAGAGTAACACAGTGACCAGCTCTGAGCAGAGAACCCACTCAGAGATGCTCAGTCTGAGCTCAGAGCTTCATCTGCATCACGTCACTTACAGCAACTTTATTACACACGTATAAGCACTTAATAACACTCACAGTAACGCTGGAGAGTTTATAAACAGCTTACATCAGCATTTGTAAGATGACAGTTTTGTTTTGTTATATGTTTATGTTAATAACACCATACTAACAAACTTTATTACACTGTTATAAAGCGTCATTCCCAAATAACGAAGCTCATAAATCAGGGCCAGATTCACTTTCATGATATAAAGAACCCTTTAATCATGCAAAAGGTTCTTTGAGTGTTCACGGTTCTATATAGAACCATTCTCTTGATGAAAGGACCCTTGAGGAACAGTAGTGAACAGGGTGCAGCTCATGTTCTGGATGACGGCGTCTCTGTGGAGGCGGAGATGCTCTGAAGGTGAGGAACCATAGATCTGCTGGTGTTTGATCATTCAGTGCTGATGCTGTGAGAGAGATGATTGTAACTGCTGTGAATAACGGATCAGAAAATGGTTTGTGGGAATCAAATCCTGAGACTTCAAGCTTTCTAACAGTATAATAATAATAATAATAATAATAATAATAATATTAATGTCATATCAGCGGCAGCTCAGTGTGCTTTACAGTTAGGTGATAAAGCTTAACAGTAATAGAAGAAACTATGAGTATTAATTTAAAATCATATCAGATCAAAGAGATGAAGACCAAAGAGTCGTAGAGTTTTACTGAAGCTCCGAGTTAAAGAGTCGTAGAGTTTTACTGAAGCTCTGAGTTAAAGAGTCGTAGAGTTTTACTGAAGCTCTGAGTTAAAGAGTCGTAGAGTTTTACTGAAGCTCCGAGTTAAAGAGTCGTAGAGTTTTACTGAAGCTTTGAGTTAAAGAGTCATAGAGTTTTACTGAAGCTTTGAGTTAAAGAGCCGTAGAGTTTTACTGAAGCTTTGAGTTAAAGAGCCGTAGAGTTTTACTGAAGCTCCGAGTTAAAGAGCCGTAGAGTTTTACTGAATCTCCGAGTTAAAGAGCCGTAGAGTTTTACTGAAGCTTTGAGTTAAAGAGCCGTAGAGTTTTACTGAAGCTTTGAGTTGAAGAGCCGTAGAGTTTTACTGAAGCTTTGAGTTAAAGAGCCGTAGAGTTTTACTGAAGCTCTGAGTTAAAGAGCCGTAGAGTTTTACTGAAGCTCTGAGTTAAAGAGTCGTAGAGTTTTACTGAAGCTCTGAGTTAAAGAGTCGTAGAGTTTTACTGAAGCTCTGAGTTGAAGAGTCGTAGAGTTTTACTGAAGCTCTGAGTTAAAGAGCCGTAGAGTTTCACTGAAGCTCTGAGTTAAAGAGTCGTAGAGTTTCACTGAAGCTCTGAGTTAAAGAGTCGTAGAGTTTCACTGAAGCTCTGAGTTAAAGAGTCGTAGAGTTTTACTGAAGCTCTGAGTTAAAGAGTCGTAGAGTTTTACTGAAGCTCTGAGTTAAAGAGTCGTAGAGTTTTACTGAAGCTCTGAGTTAAAGAGCTGCGTTTTCAGATGTTTATTAAAAGTGAGCTCTGAGCTCGACTGTCTAATAAAAGCTGAACTGAGCTCCACAGTTTAGAAGCAGAATAACTGAAAGAGTCTCTCCACGTTTTTTCTTTGTTTTACTGAAGGTGTTTGCAGGAGCTGCACTGCTGGAAGATTTAATGAATAAAAATGACGGATAAAAAACAGAAGTTAGCACTTTGACAGAAGTTCTGATACAGAGATCTGGAATAGTTTAATCCTGAGAAAATCACTAAAACTTCAGTCCTGTGGCTGAAGCTCAGCACTGCTTGTGTTCAGACTGATAAAGCCTGCAGAGCAGAGTTCACACACTCACAGCCAATCAGAACGCAGCTCAGAACAGTCTAACGTACGTTATAGATCAGATGGGGCATCTGAGACTCAACAGCCAGAACATCAATACAGCATCATTTACTGCTCATGTCATCTTCTGATTACTGACATCAGCTGTTTTATTCCAGAACTGCTTACATTTCTCACATTTCTCAGTTATTAAGTCTCTAAACAGGAAGCCTTAAATTAAAGTGTCAGCAAAAGATCCTTCAGTTCAAATATCAGCATTTAAAATGTACATTTCATTCATAATTACACAAAAAACAGTGAACAATCTATACACTATTATATAGAAACAGTGGACACAGCAGCTCCTGTCCAAACGCCCACTGGCGCTCTGCTGTCCATTATTCCGTTTAAATCACGTGCTTTGGTCCATTTGGGGTTCCGTACACAGAGCAAACGCTCCAAATGTGCAGCATCACCACCAGCAGAACACAGAGAACCGTGATGAGAACAGTGAGAGTCCTTCAGTGACTGAGTGAAGAAAGTGCTCCAGTTTCTCTTCCAGGTCATAATAATAATATAAAACATTAAAACATTAAAAATTAACACAATCCTACAAACTCACCTGATATATCAGCTACACAGAGCTTCAACTGAGCGATTCTCCTTCCTACAGAGCTGCGCTAAAGTCAGAACCTTCATTTATTTAATTCATTTCCACTCAAAACAATATTTAAGTTCTTAATTTTTCAGGAGATATTTGTGAGGAGATATAAGAGAGTCAACCTGAATAATGAACAAAACTGGAGATCACAAACTGATTAAAAACTACAGAGAAAATGTGGCTCCTAACAACCACCTGGAAGACCAGTTAGACACCAAAACTGCCCCCATCAGATAAACAGCACTTAAAGCTTTCATCTCTGAGAGAGAGGAGAAAATCAAGCTGATCAGATCTGAAAACATCCACAGGTGTTTCTGTCCATCCTTCCACTGTGAGAAGACGACTCAGCGCTGTGGGTCTGAAAGGATGTGTAGCTGATCAAGAAGAACCTCACTGAGAAAAGGAGACGGACACATCAAACAAAGAAGCTGAACGATGGACTGACCACCCCAGAGTCCAGACCTCAACATCACTGAATGTGTTTGATTACTTCAGAAAATCATCAACCAGCTTCTAAGACTGAACTTTGGAGGTGTGTCTGCAGATTCTTTGAGGAGCTGAAAGTGAGTCTCCTGAAAAGAACGGAAGCTGGAATAAAGGGAAAGAGCAGGAAACTTAACAACTTGCACAAACTTAAAGACGGTTCTTCAGGGGTTCTTCAGTAAAGGCAAGCGTTCTATTTAGAACCATGAGATCTATATAAAACCATTTCATGCATAAATGGTTCTGTGCATGGTGAAATGGATCAGACTGGGGGAGAATGTGTTCTATATAGCACCAAAAAAGGGTTCTACTACTGTTATGATGTCAAGCTTGTAACAACAGCAGAACCCTTTTTGGTGCTATATAGAACACTTTCTCCACCAAACTTCCATACAGATGTCATGGTTCTAAACAGAACCCTTGCCTTTACTAAAGAACCCTTGAAGAACCGTCCTTTTTGGTACTGAGTGGTGGTTTTGAGTGGAGGTTAAATAAATGAAGGTGAGCTCAGACTGTAAATGAACTAAATCAGCTTTTCTATTTACAAACATAAATACACGTCAGAGTTCAGACACACAGACAAGCTCATAAAGTGAAAGTCCTGATGGACACTCAGCCCACAGCTCCCGCAGCTCCGCTCAGGAGGGCGGAGCCTTGTCCGTTTGGAAAGTTCCAGATCACGCTCGCACACTGTGAGGGAGCAGAGGAGTGTCCGAGGTCACCGCTGAGCTTGGAGACAGAGGAATGGGAGAGCTGGGAGAGTACGCTGAGAGAGAGAGAGAGAGAGAGAGAGAGAGAGAGAGAGAGAGAGAGAGAGAGAGAGAGAGAGAGAGAGCATAAGGAAAAGAGAAGTGCAACCAGCCTCATAAACATCCATGCAGAACGTTACAGAGATCATAAACTTTGATCAAACACGACTGGAGGATTTCACTCTGTGTAAACACACCCAGAATGCACTGTGAATGGATTACGATCTACATTTGGAGGGTCAGAGACGGATCTGACCACATTCAGTGTAAACAGGACAGGTTTATCCGTATACAGCTGCGTGAGCTCAACTCTCATGTCGAAACGAGGAAAAGGGTCAACAGAAATGATTTGTGTGTTGATGTTCCTATTATGCAATAAATAAAACCCAAAGACTCGGATTAGCCTTCACTTTCAGCAGCAGAAAAGGTTCCAGACTCTTTTTACCAAACCTCCCTCATTTCTGTTAAAACGGAAAAAGCAGAACTGTTTCTGTTTGATTACTGAGGTTTAAAGGACCCTGACTGGTCACACACATAAGCCTCAATACTGTCTACATGCCCAACACTCCTATAATATGCTGTAGAAACCATTAAAAATATTTTATGTATTATTAAAAATAGACTAAACCCCTCTGCAAGTAGTTTGGCATTATTGTTGCAGCATCAAGCAGTTGTTCTCCTTCTTACTCGAAAATAAGGGTCTCATCTGTGAATGAGATGAAGGTTGATGTCTAGAAGAGATCCAGGAGAACTTCATAACTCTGAAATCTGATCTGTTTAGTCTCCATGACGACTTCAGTACGGACTGAGTTTCGGACAGTATCTATTTCAGAATAACAGTTCCTACCTTCATAACCTCATCATGAACTCCAGGTAAGAAAACAGCAGCACACAAACATCCTAACTAGACTAAACCTCCTAAATCCTGTCCTAACTTTAGGATGAACCCCAACAGGGTCCTCACTTCTGTTTAAGGTCCGTTTCTCTGGTTTTTAGGCAGCTGAGTCAGCAGCATAGTTCACTACCAGCATAATGAGCTCCATTTATTTCTACTGTAAAACGCTGCTTTCACTGTGAGATGATTTTCTTTTCTAACTCTGCGTTTTAAAGATCTCAGACGCTGCAGACTCGATCTCCACCGCCCCTCTGATCACCTTCGTGTGTTAATGTTGATGATGAAATATTACAGTGATGGTGGTGAATAATGAGGAGACGGAGCTGAACGTGTGTCTGTTTATTAGGAGGAGTAACGTTAGCGCGCTCGGCTAAAGCGTTTGGGAAATGGAGACTGAAACTGGGGAGCAACGACGCTCTGATAAACAGCAGGGGGCGCTCTCACTGTATTCACAGCTTACAGTTTATCACACTTTAACATTAACATTTTTAACATTATTTTGATGACGTGTTTACATTTCAGCTGTGCGTGTATGATTGGTTGCTAGGCAACAGACATGAATCGATTGTTGAGTTCAATTGAGAAGTTTAAGATTTTCTAAACTGAGATTCAGAGTAAATTATCAGAGTAAATTATGTCCAACTTGTAGTCAGTCATGGAGAATGAGAGCCGCATCAAGCAGCAAAAAAAAGCTGTAGCAGGACGTGTTTAATTTGCCACACTTCACATCGCATGTCCCCAATTACAATAGCATAAGCTTGTTTAAAGAGCCCATATCCTCTCCTGTAAAGTTACCATTTTAGAGATACTTGTTTTCTTTGGACAGCGACAGTATGTAAATGAGGTGACTCAAGACATCACAAAAACAATTAATTAAAAATAGGCTGTTTTTGCAGATTAGTTTCCATATAATGACTAAGGAATGAACAGAACGCTGTTTAGTTGAAAAAGTAAAGGGACACTCGGTTTCCATGATATCGACCCTTTAAACAATTAAAGTAGGGGTGGACAATATGGCAAAAAAGTTGCATCACGATACTTCAAGGCGCTTTCACAATACATGATATTTAGTGTTTTTGAGATTTAGTAAGTCAAAACAGAAAAAAAATTATCGTTGTCACAAACATAAAAAAACAATAATAACAATGATAAAAGTATTGAAAGTTTGAAGTTTGAAAGGTATAAAAGTATTGAATAGTTTGTGACTGTTTTGCTGAAGTTTACACACTGTGCAACGTAATTTCTCACTATATTTTAAAAAGAAGTCAGTTTAACGTGATTATTCTCGTTTTTATTACTCTGAAGTCATCAGAGTTTAGGAACTCACGCAGTAAAAGCTCAGTCTGTCCTGATGAGGAAGAGAGAGATTTAAATGAGTGCTCAGACAGTCAGGCCCCCAGACAACAGAGCACTGTGTGAGACAATGGCAGGTTACGTAACGCTGCCCGAGTCGCTGATCAGACGGAGGAACTTTCCTCTGAGCTCTGCGCGTCCACAGAGACGGACACTCAGCAGCCTTTAATATGAGCTCAGAGCAATAACGCTGAAGGAGCGGCCGCGCCGGCGCTGGGTTACAGCCGAGGGCCTGTTTGAGTTCTGCTGGACTTTTATACACAGGAGAAAAACCATCTGCTGCCATTCGGGTTTAATCAGTAATCAATACAAACGCTGCTTCCTTTGATTCGGCCGATTCACAGCAAGAAGAAAGAAACCCAACAACTCACACTGGTTACTGTTCATCCGCAGCTTTCGGGCCTCTATATCGTCTGACCTCTCCACCGAAATCTTCAGACCTGAACAACAAGACAGACACAGACAGCAGACGGTTAATATTCCACACAGCTGGCTGATGTTCAGGTTGATTCCAGATGTGGAAACAGCCTTACATACATATCACTGCTGTCAGAAGAAAACCTCGTATCTCCAAAATCGTAACTAAACAGGAGAAGGAAAAACATACTTTACTTTTAATGTAAGTCAATGGAACCAGACGTTTTTCCAAGTCATTCTGGGTCGTTTCTTTTAGTCCATTCATCATGAAATTTGGACACAAATTTAAAGGACAACACGCATTTTCAGATTATGTCAAAGACTGAAGAACCACAAAATGGAGATACAAGGTTTTCTTCCAACAGCAGCGAAACACACACACACACACACACACACACACACACACACACCATATTCCACTGACACACCACACAGACAGAGGTCTGCAAAAGTTTGAGCACTGCTGGTCAGATTTCATGTTGTGTTGACTTTCTAAGTCTGGTCTGAGTGGATCAGACACAGCAGTGCTGTTGGAGTTTTTAAACACTGTGTCCACTCACTGTCCACTGTATCAGAGACGATAGCTCATCTGCTGCTGCACAGTTTGTGTTGGTCATCCTCTAGTCCCTCATCAGTGGTCACAGGACGCTGCCCACTTTTACAAGAACTGTTTGATTATTTGTACCACCTGGGGTTTCATACAAGTAAGAGAGGCACATCTGTACATTCTCACCACTTAGTCTACTCTGTCTGGTTCCCTCGGTCAGAGGTACTTTAGCTTACTGGTCAGTGAAGTGTGGAGCAGTTACTTTTGTAGGTCAGCAAGTTCATTTTGTTTCAGTGTAGGTAAGAGCGGTGAGGTTTCACTTTGGTGCTGTCCACACTTTGATTCTTCCAGTGTGGTTCTAGGTATCAGCACGGCGTTTTTATTGTAGTTTATTTAAAATAAGATGGTTTTACAAGCTCTGTTGGTCTGTTCCTCCGTCATCACCCGTCCAGTCTTTTAGGGCCACATACTGATTCCACAGGGCCCTGGACAAATGTGGGGTCATAACGATGTGACAAATGTGGGGTCCAGCACTTTTAGAACTGGAGCTGTGAGGCTAATGTTGCTAACACTGGAAGTGAAGTCAACAGTCACCCAAACTGCTTCCACAAATACAAGCCCAAATCTTTCAAATCACATCCTCATCTGAACTCCGGTCACACAGACACACTGATGTGGTTTAGCCGACCTCTCCACCCACACAGCCCGAGATTCTGCATGTTTACTGAGCGTCTCTGTTGTTGGTTTGTGGTTCGTTGGCAAAAGGTGGGAGATCAGTGGTAACATTTCAGATCACCTGCAATTTTTTTTATTGTTTTTGCAGAACGCAACATCTCAATTTTGTGGGTTTATCCTTATTCAATATGCAACTTCTGTCTTACAGTGATCAAGCCTCAGGTATAGCTGTGCTAACACTGAGTACCTGTGGAACAGCACCGCAAAGCAGGACGTCTCGCAGATGATGTAGTTTCAATTTCAGTTTAAATCTGTAAGTTCTGTTCACGACATTTCACCAAATTCTGTTTTTCTTAACGAGTTTACGTAGCTTATTAACATAAACTGGAGCAAATACACAAAGACTTTGGAACGTGTTTGTGGAAACAGTTTTGGTGGCTATTGATTTTCAGTATTTGTTAGCCTAGCAGCTCCATTTCTAAACTAAAAACGCAAAGTTTGGACACTAAATGTCTTGGCACATGTTTTGATCGGCTGCATTTGGGGCTGTGTGGAAAACTGCATAAAACAGCTTTGAGAAGGTTTTAGTCTAAAACATATTTTTAGAATCCATTCATGGTGAAGGAGTTCGTGCAGGACGTTGTGAGCCAAAGAAAACTTATTATTTCAGATTTTCCACTATTTTCCATCATCAACATTCCATATAAACTCAGAAGACTCGTGTAGGTTCACTGGTGGTTCTGGATAGTAAATAAAATGTCTATATTTGTGTTGTAGTCATGGCGACCCCTGGTTCCTATCACCACCACTGTAAAGACATCTGAACCATTTCACAGCAAACCGCTCTGAATCTCTCTGATTACATCTCACACACTGAGTTATGGGCGGACTTTCTGAAATACTCCTCTTTAAAGATCACAGTGATTTGTGAGTGAGGTTGCTGCCACTTACTGCCGTCGCTGACGGAGTTGAAGCTGCTCTTCTTGCTGCTCCTCTTGCTGCTCCTCCAGGTGTCGTTGCCGCTGTCCCTCTGCGGCTCCTGCGGTCTGAAGGGCAGCTTCTTTTTGCTCTTGCGCGTACTGATGCGTATGATCTCGCGCACCAGCCGGCACTCCGCCTCCTGCTCCTTGATGTTGTGCTCCTGGACGATGTCGGAGATGAGCTGGCTGATCTCCTGCGAGCGCTTCAGGAACATGGAGTCCGAGGTGCACTTCGCCAGCTCATTGATCTCGAACTCGGAGAAAACCTCCAGGAGCTTCCGAGTGATGAGTGAGTCCACATCCTCGTCCAGGTCTCCGTAAATGAAGTGCTCGTCCTGCAGGCTGTCGAAGCGGATGCTGCTGCTCGGGTAGGCGGGACTGTCCGGCTCGGTTCTGGAGGGGCTGAACGAGACCTGCTTGCGCTCCTCCTCAATAACAGACGTGTCCACTTTAACTCCTCCGATACGGAGGTCGGGATAGAAGCCGTTCTCATCCGGCGCTGAGGACGCGCCCCTCACGGCTTCCGCGTCGTCTCCCGAGCTCTCGGCGGACGGCAGGCAGGGCAGACGCCTGCACACCCGGTACAGCCCGCAGGTCAGCACACTGCACACCAGCGTCCTGCAGCTGCTCAGCGAGACGCAGGGAGCGCACACACAGGAACCGGACGCGGGCTCCACTTTCGCAGGCAGGAACACGACCGTCTCCGGCTCAGCGGTGTTCCCGTTCGCATCCTTATGGCGGATTTTGTGGAGCGCTCCGGGGGGGCGGCTCTCGGGCTGGACCGGGTCGACGCAGCGCTCCTGATATGGCCTGGTCCGCAAGGGGGGCGTCTCCCACCTCTCAGAGCCTCGCTCACTGTTCCACATACTGCAGCTGAGTCAGGGTCTACCGAAGAGAGACACCTTATAAAAGACAACTCCACCACATTCCCATAATTCCTGCATAATTAGACGATTAAGATGTAAGTCGTTCAGAGTGGTTTGGTGTGAAATGCTCTGTTCTACAGTCAGAACTGTTCACAGTGGTGGTGATAGAAACCAGACGTCCACCTCTAAAAGCTCCCTCACAGAAAGTTACTACATGGAATGGTTTTCCTTTATTATAAAATCTTGCATGAATGTGTTACATTAATATATACATTAATAATAATATATAATATCATTAATAATAAGGTATTATTATAGGAATCTGATTAATATTAATGAAAGTTTTAAAAGAGTATATATTAACCACTTAATAATGATTAACTAATTATTAAGGAGAAGGCTTTTATTATAAAGTATTGCATTAATAAGGTCTATATTATGAAATCTTGCACTGACGTGCTACCATTTAAATTATTAACCATATACTGAGTATACGAGTATTTAAAATAAATACGAGTAATTAAAGCACTGTACACACTTCGCTTTTATTACAGAGAATCTGAACAATTTTATTAAAAGTTTTAAAAAGTATACGTGAACCACTTAGTAATGACTGATTATTAAGGAAAGCTTTATGCATCACAAAGTAGCAAAGATAGAAAATAACTTAATCATTCAACATATATAATAATTCAAGTTGTATCATTTTTGAATGAGTAGCAAACTAAATCATTAAGGAAATATAATCAATGTAGATTCTACAATTCAGAACAATCATTATTTGTATTCTACCATTTGTTAATGCAATATGATTACAGTCATTAATAAGCTGTAAGACTAATTAAGCTGCAGTTTGTTAATGTCTGTTATTATACAGTGTTTATAAATTCTATTCATAATTTATAAATTATGATGGAGGAACAGGTAAAGGACACTGTGAGGCAAAATAGTTAAAAAAAATGTCAGATTTACAGTTATTTTACCATCACATACAGAAATAAAAACATCTGAGTCTCTACAGTCAACGATTCACACCAAACCACTCTGAATCACTCTGTTTACATCTCACACACTGAGTTGTGGAGAAATTTAGAAAATTTGGTGGAACTTCCCTTTAAAAAGAAATCAGGACATCTAGGAATGACAAGGCGGTTCTAACAGGTTCCACTGCAGGTCGAGCCGCACCTGATTTGATCTGACCTAAAAACTATAAACAGACCCCAAAGGAGATCTAAACTAACCAGTTTGGCGGTGAATTCAGTTACAAACACAGTCTTTATTATGAATATTAACACAGAGAAAACAAGAACACAAGCAGAGTTAAGAGGCTACTTAAGTACTGAGTCACTTTTAGAACTTAAGTAGAACTTCTTAGAACATCCAGTATCTATGAGTGCAGAAACTATCAGCCCCAAACCGGCTTCGTGTTTGAATTTTCTGTTCCACCTTAAATGGTGGCCTGATGCACCAGAATGTAACTGCTGCACCATTTAAGGTGGAACGGAAGATTCAAATAAGAACCTGGCGAATATGAAGTCATACAGGAAGTGAAGTTTGTGCGGCTCTATTCTTCCCTTTTTGGTCTAAAATAAACCTCGACCAACAAAACAGAAGAAAATAAAACCCTAAATAGAGAAATAAAAACTGAACGTTACTGACTAAAATAGAACTGAGGACAACAGACTGAAACACTCGAGTAGAAGTAAAAATATGATCAATAAAAAGGGAAAATCCATCAATACGTAACTAATGACAGAGAATTCAGTGAACAGAGCTGCTCAATACCTGAGCATGAACCATTAAAGGGCCCATATCATGGAATTTGACCTGCTGCGTAAACATTGTTAGCATTGTTAGCAGTCCAGACAGGCCATATAAGGAAACGAAGCCTTTTTGTGATGTCACAAAAACCGACACATTTACTCACATCCACCCATACAACCTCTAGCAGCTTAGCTCCGCCCACTCGCGCATGCAATTACAAGGACTGCTTCAGCCCAGGCTGTTGTTTTTATTTGTTTTTGTTTTTTTAAACAGGGCATCCAATCTGCACAGAGCTCATTTGCATATATCAGCCTTAAAGGCATATTCTATTTATTTCTACACTCTTAAAGAAGATGGTTCTTCAAGGGTTACTTAGTGAAGAAAATTGTTCTATATAGAACCACCAGCACTCGAAGAACTCTTTGCATCATTAAAGCGTTATTCAGATTGATAGAAAATGTGCTGTAGATGGTTCTATATATAACCTTTTTGAAACGGGTTCTGTACGGCACCAAAAGGGTCCTTCTACTGTTACAAGTTTGACATTGTAACAATAGCAGAACCCTTTTTTGGGGCTGTACAGAACCAGTTTCAAAAAGGTTATATATAGAACCATCTACAGCCGTCTGCAGAACCCTTCCACATTGCCAGGAACCCTTTAACGTGTTCTATATAGAAACATTTTCTTTCCTAAAGCACCCTTGAAGAACCATCTTTTTTAAGAGTGTTCCATTATAACAATGTCAAGCTTGTACAACAGAAGAACCCTTTTGGTTGCTGTATAAAAATCTATTCTAAAAGGTTCTATATAGAACCATCTTTACATAAGTACATAAAATACGAAATAAAAAAGGGAAACATGCTGGATACGAGCCCTTTAAGCACTTCACCAGCTTCTTATAGTTATATCTGAAATAGTTCAGGCCAGATTACGTACTAAAAACAAACTTCCAGCCATATTAAAGCTGACTTGGGGTAAATTATAAGTAGTTTACATTCAGCAGAGACTGTATAAGAACACTATATATTCACATTCATTGCACAGTTTGAAGAAAAGCTTGTAAGCAGGACTGAAAGAAGTTTTGGAGGCTGAGTTTCGATTTTGTTCAACCTTTAGCCTTAAAAAGCAAACACGGCGAGCTGGAGGCGCAGAGACCTTAAACCCACACAGACAGTAAACAAATCAGGAAAATGAGCTCTAAATTAAGATATAAACTCCATTAGAAGAGTTAACAGGTTTGTCCCTTAGATACTGTAACTAATGTTGTCCGGTTTAAAGTGACTGTAGGAACTTTTTCATATCATATTTTTCAAAACACATCCTGTGGACGAGACTGAAGTTGGCTTGTTATTGGAATTTTCCGTTCCACCTTAAATGGTGTAGCAGTTACAGTCTGGCGCCCACTGTAACTGCTGCACCATTTAAGGTGGAACGGAAAATTCCAATAACCAGTAAACTTTATGGCAGAAAATTAATCTTTTAAGACCAAATAAAGAATTTATTCGACTAACTGCACAAAACTAGACGCATCTAACAGCACTAAGCTCCCACTGACCTCACTTCCCGGACTTTATTCACGGCATATGGGAGAAAAGGCGAAGTCTGCTGTGTTTGAGAAAAGCTTCCGGAAGTCCAGCGTTTTCCCTCCGCACGAAGTTTGACCCGGATTTCAGTTATTCCAGAAACTCATCTGGATGCAGCCTAATCAATTACTAATCAGCCAGTTTGATCAATCAAATGTGGAATGAAATAAAGAGGCGTCCTAATAATCGGACAGTTGTCTCCTCCTCTTATGGCTGCTACCTGGGGCCGCAGGTACATCCCTCACTCTATCCCTCACGGTGACGTCATGTGAACAACATTCACACTCATTCACGATTATTTCATCAATAATAGCTGTAAACTCCATTACAGTTGAGCCACACAGTGGAGACACAAAGCTGAGGATGTAAAACTGAGTCTAAAAAGTTGACACACTTTAAAACGCCCTGATTTGATCACAGTGTTTAGGGGGGCGGATCCTTAACGCTAGATGGCGCTAATGCGCTTCAGTTGGACCTCAAAGAATGACGTTTTGCTCGCATGCAACAAACTTAAAGATTGCACAGTGAAAATATAGAAGCAGCCCTATTGAAAGACAGTGAGGAAAGGGGAATGCCACCCATTTTCCAAAATTTCCTTCTTAATTCAGTGGTTGAGATGTAAACAGAGTCATTTAGAGTGGTTTGGTGTGAAATTCTGCGTTTCAGAAAAACTTCCACCGTTTTTTCAAAATTTCTGTATAATTCAGTGGTTCAGAGGGTTTATTTGCAGAGAAAATTACAAACTCAGATGTCTTTACAGTGGTGCTGATAGGAACCAGGGGTCGCCATGACTACAACACAAATATAGACATTTTATTTACTATCCAGAACCACCAGTGAACCTACACGAGTCTTCTGAGTTTATATGGAATGTTGATGATGGAAAATAGTGGAAAATCTGAAATAATCAGTTTTCTTTGGGGACTATTTTGCCTCACAGCGCCCTGCATGTATCCCTCCACCATGAATGGAGTTTAAGTTCTCTAAACTATCATAAAACAGTGTCTCAGTCATCAGGCAGTGAATTCATAACCATTTACTGTAGGAACTTTCTGTGAGGGAGCTTTTAGAGGTGGACGTCTGGTTCCTATCACCACCACTGTGAACAGTTCTGACTCTAGAACAGTGCATTTCACACCAAAACACTCTAAATGACTCTGCTGACATCTAAACCAGTTAATTATTCAGAAAATTTAGAAAAATTGGTGGAGTTCCCCTTTAAAAGAAAGTATTATTACTTTTAACTGTTGGATTCTTTTCTTTTTGTTTGATTTTTGATAATCTTTTTACTTTTCCTACGCTGTTTATTTATCTTTCTCTGTGATTTCTCTCTGTTGTTTTTATTATAAAGCACTTTGAGCTGCATTTAATGTATGAAAGGTGCTATATAAATGAAGACTTATTATTAATAATTGTTCAGTGTGGTGTGCACACACTTTGGTATAAGTATTTTTTGGGGGTGAGGGGCAGTTCATATCAGGACTCTTCAGTGTATGAAAATGCCGTTATTAACAGAGTTAGCGTGGAATTACATACACAGTTCTGACTTTAATGATAAGAAGTGATTATGTTGCAGGAACTAACAGACAATCAAATCAAATGTGCTGTTATTAGTAATTATTATTGTTCAGAAACAGAGAAGTAGGAATTCTGTCAGAAAAAAGGCACATTTTTCCTTCTTTAAGGTGCAAACTGTAAATATGCCCTCAAAGTACAGCAGTGGTTTTAAACTGTGCAGGTTTTTCTCCAAGTAAAAGTACATATTTGTACCTTTTCATAACTGAATGTCTTAAAACACAAAATAAAAGGATGAAGTCAGAGTGTGTGGGGTCAATACAACTTAACAGATAGATAGATTCAACTTTGTCACTGCTCAGTACAAGACAATGAAGTTAGCATCTACCAGAAGTGCAAACTGTAGCTCTGTGTGGGGGAAAAAAAAAAAATAACAGTTTATCAGAATCCTATTAAGTATATATTACAAATTCCTGTTCCACCTTAACTGGTGCAGCACACTGTTCAGCTGCTTTCTATTTGTAACCAGTTTGTTTCTTATTTTTTAGCATGCAGTGAAAGTGTGAGCAGGACAGTGACTCCAAAATCCAACCTGCACAGAAACACTGACCATTAGACACTAACAGAACACAATGCAGCTTCACCAGCTTCCTATAAAGAAGCTCTTTAAACCACATCTGATAATGTAGATGTTTAGATCTCTATTGTCAGTGATGCTCCTTACAGTTTGGAAACCTGTATAGTTTAAGATAATGAGGGCGGATCTGCTGGTTCTGCCGACAAACAGACACCATTTCAGAAGCTTTTGGACAAACAGTTTCTCCCTTCATGGTGGAGGGATACATGCAGGGCGCTGTGAGGCAAAATAGTCCCCAAAGAAAACTGATTAGTTCAGATTTTCCACTATTTTCCATCATCAACATTCCATATAAACTCAGAAGACTCATGTAGGTTCACTGGTGGTTCTGGATAGTAAATAAAATGTCTATATTTGTGTTGTAGTCATGGCGACCCCTGGTTCCTATCACCACCACTGTAAAGACATCTGAACTATTTCACACCAAACCACTCTTAATCTCTCTGTTTACACCTCACACACGGGATTATAGGGGAATTTGAGAAAAAGCAGGTTAAGGAACCCCCTTAACTTCACTTTCATAATGTGCATCTTATCCTCAAGATCAAAACACCAGTTTAAAATGTACCAATAAAGTCTTTCTCTGTTCTGAACTAAATGACTTGCATATAAAGACTAAACCAGACCATAAAGGACACATTTGAAACAGTCACTACACAGTAAACGTCACTCAATCAAACACCATTTAATGGAATTTGAGGCAAACGGTCACATAATGAGAAAACTAAAGTACTGAGCCTTTATTGTCCTTTTGTACAGCATTTCCTGTTAAGACCACCCACACAAACCCCGTACCTGTCCAGGTATGACCTACTCCACACTAGCAGCAGTCATGGCTTCCTGTGGAAGGAGATCCACGGTGGTCATATAGAGGGGTTGGAGAGTTGGTGGTGAACGGTTGAAATTTGGTCTCTGGTTGATCTTTGTTGGTAAGAAGCTGCTTCAGGATAGTAACCATCTCTGAATGAACCGGCGGCAGGAGCCTGACGGGCATCAGCAGATACTTTACTGCTCAGGAACCTTCGGCTGTAGCCGTTAAAGCTTGAAGCACCTTCGTTCTCAGGTGGAACATTCCAGACACCTCTTTGAGATGATCGGTAAACTGGCTTCATACGACTAGTGCTTCTGCTGACCCCTCCACGCTGCCGAGAACTCAATCCAGATGATGAACGGGTAGTGCAGCTTGATGGGTTTCTACCATTCCATGCTGAAGATGCAGAACTGCTGGGAAGAGCTTCATGTTCATGCAGTCGAGTGCTGTAGTGGTTAGGTGCATTTCTGCTGACCATGTAGCCACCTGAATTAGCCGCTTTATCACCTCCAGGATAAAACAGTTGTGCAGCGTGGCTTGACTGGACATTACTGTGTTGAAAGGGCACAATATCCTGATTAGTGTTTCCAGAGAACGACTCGTTTCCACTCCAGGCCTGTAACACAGGACTGTTAGGAGTGGACGCAGCCCAGCTTACGCTTCCGACGCTGGTCTGAACTCCATTTGTGGAGCCAGTTGTGCCTGAAGACCTGCTTGGAGAGAAGTTCTGGTTAAAATGGCTTGGTGCAAGTTGTAAACTTGCGTCAGAGGAGCCATCTGGCCAGACTGAATCTTCCCTATATCTGGAACATCTTCTGATGGACCCTCGTCCATAAATTTCTGGGATATCAATGATGCATGTAGCGCTTTCAGGAATTCCAAAATGTACCTGGGGAGCTTGATTTAGATTTTGGACGGAGTTTATAGGGGCTGGTTTTTGGTCCCTATATCCAGCACCTCTTTGATCCCCAGAAGAACTCTGAGAGGAACCAAAGCCGCTAGAGCCTCGTCTGTGGGATGCAGAAGGAGTTACCCCAACTTCCACTAGGTTTCTCTCACCAGCATCAACTGTGGAGGGATTAGCAGGGCTGAAGGAAGTTCTAGAGGGAAGAACAGGTTTAGAACCAGGTGTGTTCTGGTTCCCCCTGGCTGAATAATCAAGTGCTCCGCTCTGGAATGAGTTAGAGGAGGTGCTGCCTGACTGGACATTTCCAGAACGCCACCTAATTTGATTAACTTTGCTTGGTCTAGAGCCATTATTGTTAACTGGATGTTGATTAGGCTTTTTCGGCTTAAAAGAACCTTGAGAACCTCCACCTTCCTGTACCATAATAATGCCTCCAGAACTGACAACTGATGGTTTAGCCATACTGGACCAGGATTTGCCCCCATATGACTTTCTAGGCTCAAAACTGGGGTTGTTTTGGTTCACAGAATGTTCAGTAGCTCCACTCGCAGGTAAGCTGGGTCTGCCAACACCAGGGTGGATGTTCCTGGAGATGCTTGCAGTTTGGTAGGAGGAGACGGGTCCATGCCGATGAGAGGATGGGCCAAAGCTGGATGCTACAGATCTACTGTAGGTGCCTTGACTTTGTATTGGGCTGTAGGAACTGAAGGCTTTTGGAGAACTTCCTGCAGGTCCTTCTGAATATAAGGAAACAAGAAAAATAACTAGTTGAAAAAAAATCAACCAGTTCTACTGATTTTCAAACTGTATAAGTGATTAAGATGTAAACAGACACACAACTGGAACTCACAGAGTCAGAATTGTACACAGTGGTGGTGATAGGAACCAGACGTCCCCCTCTAAAAGCTCCCTCACAGAAAGTTCCTACATGAAATGGTTATGAATTCACTGCCTGATGACTGAGACACTGTTTTATGATAGTTTAGAGAACTTAAACATTCATGGTGGAGGGATACATGCAGGGCGCTGTGAGGCAAAATAGCCCCCAAAGAAAACTTATTATTTCAGATTTTCCACTATTTTCCATCATCAACATTCCATATAAACTCAGAAGACTCGTGTAGGTTCACTGGTGGTTCTGGATAGTAAATAAAATGTCTATATTTGTGTTGTAGTCATGGCGACCCCTGGTTCCTATCAGCACCACTGTAAAGACATCTGAACCATTTCACACCAAACCTCCATGAATCTCTGTTTACACCTCACTTATGGGAGAATTTTTGTAAAATCAGTGGGGGGCATAAAGTGCAGGTGCATTAAATGTTTGTTTACAGTTACTTACCTTCATAATTTTGAGAACAGCTCAAGTGAGAGAAAACCAAACCAAGAAATAACCTGTAATGAAGTTACAGACAAAGTCAAACTGAATCAAAACACTTCCAACACTCTTCATCTACCCAGCTTACCCTAAACAGACCACCACAGACATGACGACCCCCACAGAGAACAAAAAAACTCGACAATACACTCAGCAAAACCTCATAGTGCTCCAGGCTTGTTTACTTAACACTCACAGTAACAGGAGTTTAAAAAGTGAGCTTGTATATTTAGCCAATCAGAGAGTGCCATGTTAGGTAGTTGCAGCTGATTAGCATTATTATTGTCATGTGACACATGGATGAAGATCACATGACCACATGGCCAGTCAGATTGTCATTTGGGAATAAGCTTTGAGTTTGGAGTTGGATGATATTTAGGATTTTATCCCTTTGAACATTTTCCGATTATTACAGCTGTTAGAACTGATTAAGTTTTCCAGCAAATGTTTTGAAAAGTGGTTCATTTCTGGAAGCTTCCGGTGTCTCCTGGAGCCCCCTAGTGGCCCAAAGAATATCTGTATGTTCAGCAGATAAACCTTTTTAAATTACGGCGCTGCAAATGTAGTATTTAGACCAGTAAAGACCAATAAGAAGTAAACAGCTAATGTAAACAATGTCAAACAAAGGAATTCTAGAAGGTGCATTATGTTTGTAATGTAATCTCATTAACATTAAAATAACTAAAAATAAATTAACAGGTATCTTTATATGTGAGATACATTTCAAATAATTCCAAGCAATTCCAAAATGTACATTAAACAAACAAAAATAAACAAATAAATAATAAATATGTACATGATTAATACATTTTACATTTGAAGGATTTCATTCCATTCCATGTTGATGACTTTTACACATCCTAGAAATATCAATGCTAGATTAATCATTACTGCTTTTATAAGACAAATGAAAATGTTTTTTTGTTATATTTCTGCTGTTATTCTTTTCAAAACTTTGTTATGTCAAAATAGTTAAAAATGCATTTCTAGCATTTTGGAGTGAATCTAGGGTTAGGGTTATCAAATTAATTTCTCTCTGTATGTTGATGGAGCTTGTAATGCTGTTAGCTACACATCAGAGCTAGCTTTACCTTGTTGATGTAATCAGCTGGACAGTGACAGTGTCCTTTAAAGGTCAGTGAATGGGCATTGAGATTGAATATGTCTGTGTACACGGTTACCTTTCCAAAACTGACCACATTCTCCATCCTTAAATGAAGCTCCAGCTCATCATCAATAAAGTCACTCCAGAAAAACACCAGCATTGATACGAGCTTCGTCTCTTTGATCAAATCCTGAACGTAACGTTGTTCCTGTTTAGTCGAGATTCCAGTTAGTGTGATAAATTAACTCCTCTTAACCTCTTAATGCAAATGAGACCGATGAGCCGTACAGCCTTCACCTGACCCTCATTATCTACCATCTGTAATGAACTCATTTAAAGCAGACAGATTTGGATTCTGTCCTAATATTTGGTCATCTTCAAATCATTTTCTCATAATCAGCATCTAACAACAAATTAGGTCTTCTTTGACAAACAGCAGCTCTGAACATCTCCTCTGCTTTCTTTCTATGTTTAAGATCACATCATCAAACGTGTCTCTCCCTCTTTTCCACTTAGAGCTCCCACAGTATCCCGTCACCGCTAGTGATCGATAGGGATCATTAGCGTCATCCTCACACGGTCCAGAGTGAGAGGAACTCGTCCGTCTCCTGATGCCGATGACACGGATGTGGAGAAGATCTGTCAAGCTGCCCTACTTTCCCTGACAAGTCATTTCATCCTGCATATTGTTCTTCTTTTGTTCCTGTAGGTCCAGGAGAAGCTGAGACAGTGAAACAAGGTCATCTCTTCTGTAAGAGTAGGAATCCATATGTACACCACTGCACTACACTGTACACTGCACCACTACACAGCAAACTGCACCACTGCACTACACTGTACACTATGCCACTGCACTGCACACTGCACCACTACACTACACTGTACACCATGCCACTACACTGTACACTGCACCACTACACTGCACACTACACCACTACACCCTATACTGCACTACTAAACTACACTATACACTACATCACTACATGACATTAACCCACTACACTACACTGTACACTACAACACTATGCTACACCACTACACTACACTGTGCATTACACCTCTACACTACACTACACTGTACATTATGCCACTATACTACACTGTGCACTACACCACTACACTGTACACTACACCACTACGCTGCACTGTACACTAAACCACTACACCACACCACTACACTGTGCACTACACCACTACACTACACTGTACATTATGCCACTATACTACACTGTGCACAACACCACTACACTGTGTACTACTCCACTATGCTGCACTGTACACTACACCACTACACTACACCACTACACTGTACACTACACCACTACAGTACACTGTACACCACACCACTATGCTGCACTGTACACTACACCACTACACTACACCTCACACTACACTGTGCACTGCACCACTACATTGCACACTACACTACACCACTGCACCCTACACTGCACTGTACACTACATCAATACACTACACTGTACACTACACCAATACACTACACTGTACACTACTACACTACACTACACTGTGCACTACACCACTACAATGTGCACTACTCCACTACAGTACAGTACACTACATCACTACATGACACTAAACCACTACGTTACACCCTACATTACACCACTACACTACACCAATACACTACACTGTTCACTACACCACTACACCCTATACTGCACCACTAAACTACACAGTACACTACATCACTACATGACACTCAACCAGTACACTATGGCCTACAGTACACCACTACACTACACTGTACCCTACATTGTACACTACACCACTACACCCTACACTATATTGTACACTACACCACTACACCCTACACTACACTATACACTACACCACTACACCCTACACTACACTATACACTACACCACTACACCCTACACTATGCAACTACACCCCACACTACACTGTGCACTACACCACTACACCCTACACTACATCACTACACTACATACATCCTGTACCACACCACTACATAACTATACTACACTTTACACTGTACACTACACCACTACACCCTACACTAAACCACTACACTACACTGTACTGTACTGTGGTGTAGAGCGTTCAGATGACACATACATACAATGGAAATCGTTTTTTCCTGTCACTGCACATCAGACTGAGAGTGAGTCATTATCCAATACATTCAGCTTCTTTTAGAGCAGATACATATTTCTCTTACGTTCTGTTGAGAAAATTATGAAAAAGAAAGAGAGGAAACGTGAGATTTTCTTCTGTAGTTATCAGCAAATGCTGACACAAGTCATTTGGTCAGGAGGAATCCAGAGTGAGGAAAGTGAAGAAAAGGTCATAAATCAGACACAGAGAGAGTCTCATTAATCAGAGAAATGACTGTGATTCTCAGAAAACTCTGCTCATCAGCGACACGGACATCTGCACCTACTGTACGCCGCCGAGGATTTATCAGGGTTTTTGTAAGAAATAAAGGTAGGCCGTCGCCCACAGCGCGGGGAGTTTACGTACGAGACGTGCCTTCCTGCAGTGCGTGATTTATGACTGATTCTGCTCGTCATCTGTTCTGCAGCTTATTGCTTTCATTGTTTTTCACTGACAGGGAGAAATTAATTTTCCTGAAAAATGCACCAAAATCCTGGAACAAATTCCATTTAAATCCCTAAATTCACCATGAAGAGATGAAAAAATCTGCTGAGAGTAACAGTCCAGCTTTTTTTTTCAGAGTTTGGGGGTCTTGAACTCTGCCCCTGGGGGGCTGCAGTCCAGCACAGGCTAGTGATTTACCTGCTCACACACTCCTGTTTCACCTGCTCTGTTAATTAGCAGTTTAGTATGTGTGACTGAGGAGAAAAATACCCAGACTGTACTGGACTAAAGTCCTGCAGGAGACGGACACACTGGCCTTTAGCTTTAATTCAGCACCTGGAATTCCAGTGAAAATCACAGCCAGAGTGTTTAAAACTCGTCATCATGACTGTTAGTGATTTTATCTACAGTAACAAACAAAAACTTAGAACCTAGAAAACCCTTTTTACTGTAAAACTGTGAAACTGTAAATGTATAACTGTAAAATTATTTAACTTTATAACTGTAAAACTGTAAAGTAAAACGGTAAAACTGTGTAACTATGTAAATGTATAACTGTAAAACTATAACTGTATAACTGTAAATATATAACTACAACTGTAAGACTTTGTAAGTGTTTAACTGCATAACTGTATAACTGTAAACTTATACTAACTGTAAATATATAACTGTAAAACTTTGTAAATGTTTAACTGGATAACAGTAAAACTGTATAACTGTAAGTTGTGTAAATATGTAACTGTATAACTCTCGGACTGTGTAAATATATCACTGTAAAACTGTATAACACCTCTGCAACATAATGCATATTGACACAACTTTACAAATCACCCTGTAATATAGTGTAAATATAGTGTAAATAATAATTAATAGTGATCTTGTTAATAGTCTTCTCTTGTAGCCGGATTATGATGAGATTTGGGGAGAAAAATTGTCCAGGATCTGTGTAAATATTAGTGCATTAAATATTAATTATGTGTGTGCTGTGGGCTTTTGTACTGTATTTAAAATAAAGTCTAATAAGTCTAATAAAGTCAAATAAGCTTTATTATTGAGCGCGTCAGACAACAGAGTTCACACAGGTCAAGCACTTGAAGGAGCACAAACACCGTCCAGCTCAGTGTGTAAAAGTCTTAGACACCTGACAAAATTACACATTAAAGAGTGTTTATGTGCTAAGAAAAACACTAATATTGCAATGAATACAAATGACATTAATACAGAAAATTAACCAGTGATTTTGTACATAACAATGTTTATTTATTAATTTCTAAATCTCTCCTGAAGGAAGTGCAGTATTTACAGTTACCACCCAACAACTCGCTTTATCTAATCAATACTAATTAAAATTAATTTGGCTATAGAACTGAACGGATCCATACTGTAACTCTGCTTTCTTATAACTGTATTCTTCATAACTTTACTGACAAACAACACATTACCCTACTGTAACTCTAACCCTACCGTATTAATGGTTATTTTAATATTTTGATGTAGTGT